CCATTATATCGATCACTCAATTACCACGTATGTTCAGTGTCCAATTAAGCAAAAGATTGCAAAAACAAATTAAAAATAATAAGTCAACCACACGTGGACGTGACGCCCATCTATTATGCAGAGAGTTGTCAAGAAGGGAAGATGATAATATGAAATACTGTACTTTACATTCCCTCAAAAATATTTAAGAGGTGCCACGCTCCTACCGCATTTTGCGAAACTTCGGATTGCATTTTAATTTCACTTTACTTTCTACAAGATTGAGACATCCAATTCAGAGTGAATATTATGGATTTTCGTGGAAACAAAAAAAAATGCATCGGACATAAAACATTTCTTTTAATGCATGGCCACAGCCCGCTCACCTTTTCATATAAATATTAAATGAGGTACGTCTGCCCACGCTTACACATAATCTCACCCCAACAGACGTAAAGACAGACAGAGATTAAATCATTTAAACATTTATTTACAGCTCCCTTGCGTTGCGTACAAAATTGTATTTTTTAAGGGATTACATTATCTATAATTTTTTGGGAAGTACTAGCCAAAGGTAGTACAGCCATCCATTGCGAAAACAATTATGTCATGATTGACTAGTTTACAATTAAATGAAATTCACCTGCTAGTTAGTCTGGAAACATCCTGCACAATTTAAATGGCCCTTTGAGATTCATGGAGATCCTTCCAGATTTCTTTTAAATTCTTGCAAAATGGAACATACCAAAACCCGGAGGAAAAACAAAAGAAAAGAGAATGGAATGTTTTATCTGTAAATTCCCTGGACACGTTGCATCAAATTGCCCCAATCTTCCTCCTAATAGCTAACCTTCCACCTCTCCTATCGTAAGGTCAGGTCTACCCTCCCAAGCATACGTTTGATAGACAAAGACAATTAAAGAACAGTGTAAACTTGTTTCCTTAGAAACTCAGAGAATCCATAGTTTAGCTTCCTCCATAGAATAAAGTGAAGAAGAATATGCTACTGATGATTCCCATACGTCCCAGTACTTTAAAAACTCGTTGCCCGAATCTAGGTAATGTTCTCATTAATGACTTTCAGTGTACATACATTGTATTATAGCTAGCTGGGATATCAATCTTTTCTTAATTCAAAGATCTTTTCTGCTTTTCAACAACCCTTCAGGTGCAACAACCTGTCATAGTTAATGCACATTCGGGAGGCATTAATAGGGGGGCTGTTACAATGTATAACTAAAGTTTAACAGTGCAAATCAACAAAGGAATTCATAAACAAAAAATAAATATATGTAACTAAAAACTTATTCAACAAACATAAACATTCATTCATTCTAAATCTAGAATTAAAATTATCAACAATTCAACAATCATATGAATTCTTGCTATTCAAATCGGAAAGAATTATTTAAAGTGATTGTTGAATTAAAATGTTTGTTGATAATTTTAATGCGTATCTGATATTGTGTGGAAGTTTTAGGAACTACCGTTTAGTCTATTTGACTACGTGCACACTAGCGCCCAATTAAAATTACCAAAAGAAATGTTATTTCATGCAATATTTTAATTTAACAATAATCTTAAATAATTCTTTCTGATTTTAACAGCAAGGATTCATATGATTGTCGAAAATTTACATATTTACTAGTTACTACATATTTATGTTTGTCGTTAAATTTCGTTCCACATTAAAAATGAATGAAAGTTTGTTTGTTGAGCAAAATGGTTTTATTAATTGAATGACTTGTTTGTTGAAATATACATATTGTCAAATGAACTCCATTCATTCATTTAATTGATGCAACATTTTTATTAAGTGACATTTTTTAACAATCATATTTAATAGGTATGTAAGTTAAAAGCAACATACCTAAAAAATAGAGACAAAAGATTGACTGCTATTTAAAATGATACATTGTAAAATTGTAGAATAAACAGTAAAACGGCATTCTATAGAATATCATGTGTATAGTTCCCTATTTTATTTTGTAACATTATTTTGCAAAAATTTATTTAATTATTGGCAACGTTCTAAATGTGTTCCTTATCCTCCAAATTGAAAACTTCGATTAGGAAAGAAACACTTCGATTACGTGCATTATAACGGCATTAAGCATATTAAGTATTGATTGCAAAAGTCAATATATCATTGTTAATATGCTTCGACACATTTCGTTAATGTAAAACATCAAATTTGATTGACATTGATGTATAAATTAATTAGTTAGTGATCCAATATGTATGTAAAGTTATGTCGCCCAATTTTAATTCCCTAAGCGTGACAGGCATCGTTCAGCTGCCGTACCTACATCACAGTCCTGAAATAGGTACCCTTAATTTGATGAAAAGTGTAAGTGAAGGGCACTTGACCGTAACGAATTATCAGTTTGAGTTTTATGCTGGGGAAAATTTTTCTGTTCTAACCACCTCTACTTGAAGATTCTTCAATATATCCATTTTACTTCGTTTACACTAACAAATATTCTTAAGATTTTGACTTGCGTTGTTCTTATACATTAGTCAACTTTACGCAAAATGATTGTATGCCATCAATGAATGTCATTATTAACAGTATTATCATGATATCGACAAAATTTATCTAAATTGTATCATGTATGATCTAAATAATTCATATAAGTCACTGAATTGACCTAATTTATACATTATGTTAGATGTAAGATATGATTTCATTAAAAGGAATCTGCATTCTGCAACCGAAAACAAGTAGCGGCGCTTTTTGAAAGCAGAAATTCATACCCGCATCATGTCGGTTGATTTATATTGATTTGCCCATTAAAAAAAATTAACTACTGTGATGCCTGCTTGGGCTACCGTCCGTCCGACAGGCAACGTTCTTAAGATTTTTTTGTATTTTGTACGGCAGCGTTCTGAGGATTTCAAAAGGCCAGCGATATTAACTGTGAGGGTGGTTAGCAACGCGCAATAAATCTTTGTTTCTATTGGACATTTCTTAATAATTTTATACAGGGTGTTCAATTGAAAACTTCCCACCATGGATTTATCGAAGACCACTGATTAAAGGAAAAAACGCCATGATACGTCAAAAGATTTGTCAAGGCGGACAACTATTTAACTAAAAACTACTTCACCCTCTGCCCCCCAAGGCCATTCCCTTAAAAATGTTAAATGACAAGTGGTATCGAGTAATAGATTGTTTGAAAGTTCTTTCGAAGTCCATTGTTTTGGCGTTTTTTAAAATCGGTAGATTATCTTCGAGAAAATTAGAAAAATCTTTATTTTTATTTTAATTTATTTGGTCTTTCATTTTGAAGTGAGCAGAAACTTTTAGTTTCGAGATATTCGTCGGTTGTTTAAAGTCTCTGTTGATTGCCAAGTCTAGACCATTGCGAATCAGTCATGCGTAATGGATGGTTATTACAAGAATACAGAAAGCTGGTTCTGGTACAAGGTTAGTATATGTTCTTGCTACAAGATCTTGATCTATAAAATTCAGTGAAATAATCAATCGACTGGCTTGTAAAACTATTGAAAACCACATAATGACAGACAAATAAACTTCATTTGATATTATAGAGGTTGTAACATAAATACGTAAAAAAATTAGTTGTGAAAGGACGAAAACAGACATTTTTCGAATAAAACGTAGGTCCCAAGGACCAAGATCTTGCCGTTAGTTCCGTCCTTCTGTATGTCATGGTATCTGAGAAAGAAACTGAAATTTTGGGAATTTTAGAGACGTAGGTCCCAAGCAGAAAATTTTGGCCCATGGTTTCATATACCTAGCTTCCACCCTTTATAAAGCTTTCGAGAATAAAACAGCAGCAGTTCTGAAAATAAATTACTCTTATTAGTATTTAATCTCGAATATAACTAGAAATGGCGCTGTTCTTTTGTTCGACTTCATACATTACTTGATTTGATATTACTGTGATTAAATGGATAAGAATCATTTAACGTGGGTTCCGAAGGGCATATCCAGTCCGGCCTTGTGCCGGAAAAAAATAGCTTTCTTTTGTATAGAAGCTTAAAAATAAAATTATTAAAGGTTAAGGCGAATTTAAATTGAACCTAGTTTAAAATCCACGGCAAACCATTGTAGTTTTTGTTGGCATTGTTTTGCGCAATCTAACCTACCCTTAAATTTAGAGCTGTAAACGTCCATTAAAAATCAATGTAAGAGATAAGCTATTTTGAGCAGCCAAAATTTTGAATACCAATGAATTAATCACGTAGATTAGGGCACATAGTGTCATGGGCAAATTATTAATTACAATATCTTAATGCTTTGTTGCTCACAATCGAGAATACTCGATTACAGACTTTATTTTTGCCATTCAGAGAAATGTAAAATGTATAGTATATGGGGTAACACGATTACATTACGTTCCACTGATTCATTTGTTAGTATATCGGCACACAAAGCAAATTGGTATAGTAGAGGGGCGCTAACCACTGAAATTTCTCCACACAGTACAAATATGTAGATATTATAAAAAACATTCATACGCTCTTCACATACATTGGTAATTTGATTTGACGTTTTTAATAAAATAGGATGGTAAAAGAGTACGGCATTGCGGATGAAACTGGTTTTTTTTGTAATATATTACCATCAAAGCGGTAATATGGCGGTTTTTACGTTTAGGTATAACGGTGAATTTTATGTTAATTAAATTAGTGGGCCACCAACTAGGTATTATGGTCGTATGGATAGATATTCTTTTTGGGTGCGTTACAATATTATTAAAGCTCGTCTGAAAATCACGTTCCGGTATGCCACAAAACGCTAATTGTAGAATTGAGTTACGGGCCTTTATATGGTTGCTTTGAATACAAAATTAATATATGAATAAAATTTTAATTATTGCGCATGTACCATTAATAAAAGAACAATAGATAATACTTTCAGGAATATAAATCAAGTAAAGCTTGTCGGTGACCGACAACATTGTGCAAAATTTTGATTGATTCCTAGCTTAACGAATAAAATTTATATTACGGCTTTTCGCAATGTATTAATGGATCAATAAATTTTACAGAGGCAGTCGCTGAGATTCTTGGCGCTCCAGATTTGCATATCAGAGCTGGTTCAACACTACGTTTGGTATGCAGCTTGAAGCATTCCACCGAACCACCGTCTTACGTGTTTTGGTACCACGAGAGGCACATGATAAATTATGATGCTGGTGTGCTGGTGTTAGACGATCGTTCATCTAGTGTATTATTACTACACGAGACTGATAAGAGCCATAATGGAAATTATACATGCAGCCCGTCTAACGCCGTACCTGCATCCATTAACGTTCACGTGCTCAATGCCACTGCGGGTAACGAATTAATTATTCAGCAATTTTTTATGTTAATCTTAATGTGATTTCAGAAGAGAAACCGGCCGCCATGCAACACGCAAACACTTCGACATCTTCATCAACATGTATAGTTTTTAATTTTAGTGTTCCGGTCTCATTAACAGTATTGGTGCTTCAAAGCGCGTGGGAAAGATGAAATTAAGCTTTTCGATTTTGTAAATAAAATGTACATAATATTTATGTTGGGTTGTGTTAAGTATTGGAATGCCAAAAAAATACTATAGAGTAACATTTAAATTTTGTTAAATGGTAATAAAGTAATTTCTCAATGCGTTTACCCTTATTTCCAGACTATTGTAGGAAAATTGGACAAAAGTAGCTAATAATGTAATTGGCGACGTCATCGCTCCAAATTTAACCGTCCTGCGACAGATAATACTGATTCATTGTTTTTTCCGTAAGCGGATTAAGCGACGAATTTGATCTGGATGATGAACGGTTTTAATTCACAATGAAAATTGACCATTACATAAATACCGCTTATAATTGGTCGAGTTGTCCAGAAACAGCTGCATTTTCATTCTAATCCAAACGAATTGTTCAATGAACATCAATTTAGTACCTACCTAACTATTTTTGGATTATAGTTAATTTCATTACAATGCAATAGTGCAGCAGAATTACTAAATCAACCCTTTTATTAATTGATAATCTGGCCATACCTGTACTGGGAGATTTTGTGGTTAACATACACAGATTCGTTAATCTCTTGGATATGATTTTCAAATCTTAATTAAATATTAACAGGAAAATTGTATAGCTAGACCTGGGAACGTGTAAAATTTTAAATAATCGTTAGAAAATTAACGATAAAGGAACTCCTAACGAGTAATGAAGTATGCACTAATGAAGGACAGAGCAGAGTTAATGTCGTTAGCCGTACTTGTTAAAAGGGTTATTGTGATCTAAAATTAATGAATATTAAAGAGTAAAACTCCTTCAATTCAGCCTGACTACTATCATTTTGTTTTAGAATCTCATAAAGTGAAATACCTCACTTGTTCTTACCGCAAGTAGATAATTCTAATCAAAGTTTGCCCATTAAATACGGTTTGTTTACTCAAAATTATCTTGCAAACATTTCGCCACAAAGCAAATTGCAAATTCTTCTTCGATTGTTTGGCAGAAGTTCTGATTATGTAGCTGATCGTTTTTAATCACTGCGTTCTATCTTAAACGAAGTTGGTATAGAATCCAAATGCTGGTAAATTCTATATCAAGAATGCCATTTATGAAATACCATTAAGTCATTCATTCCTGTATAATGCCATTGCAATTCGTCTGTAAATCTAGCACAAGATCTTCCACAGTATGTTTGAAACCGTTGTAGAGTATTTTATATTTCCGTTACTATCCTGAGCACTATGAACGTAATTTCAATATTATTTTTAGTTTGATTTTGATGTTTCCCATATTCCTGGACGGGTATACGATTTTACTCTTACAGGAAATCTTAAATTACAAAGTTATAAATTATAATGTTACAAACCATGGAAGGCAATTTGAAAAACTATGGATTTCTGGCGAGCTTTTCTGCAGTAGAAAATGCCAATTCGCCCCCTTGGGCTTGGGCCATCGCTGGAAGAACAGCTAATAAATATTTCGTCAATTTTATAAATAAAATGAGATGTTGTTGGTCTCTCCTACACATTTCGATTTGTGAAACAAGATTTTATGCTATCGCTTCATTGAATCGAATCGACTATACCCAACTTAAAGACATGTTTCCAAGCAAACCAACGTTTACCTTTAATTTTTAGATTCTAAAGGACACGCACCCTCTAAAGTTATGAATGGAAATATCACCTCAAGCTAAGAACACCATACCCTCTCTTTATTGTCGATAGCAGTGTCCAGTGCAACCACGATCTTTACTATCGCTCTAAGGGTCTCGGTTGAATCTCAATGCTACATCAGTTCCCATAAATTCATCAAGTTCTGAAGCTATTGTTACAAAAGCGCGCCATATTATAATGGTTTAAGACATGGGGTGCGACATTACTCGGTGCATCAAAGATTTTACTTGGAGAAGATTCGATTGCTGCCCGCAAATCGAATGCCGAATCGTCAGAAGACGCGCTGGAAGCTAGGACGTGGGCGACCCATCAAAGGTGTAAATTTTCCAACTAAAAAAAACTGGCGAGGTGCACGGCTGAAAATTGGCAGACATATCCAGCATCATTGGGAAGAAGTAGTAAAAAAATTATCCGAAGAGTAAGTGGAACCTAAAAAGTTGTCGGGAGCTGCCAAAGTTGCCAAAAAGTCGAAAAATTTACATTTCAAAGAAAACTTCTGAGAATTTGGAATTTTTCCCTATGCATCAATTGCTTTAATCCCAAGCATGCAGCAAAGGATTGCTCAAGTCGGAATTGCCAGTTCTGCCAGAGGAAACACTTACTGTATAAGTCAGCATTTGCTCCAGAATCACCAGTAGATGTGTCTCCAACTACTGCAGGCTAACAGGAAGCAACGTAGCTTGTAACATCAGCCAGGTCATCCTCAGTACTGTGGCTGTCGTGCTAAAGAGCAAACGCAGAACTGTCAACTGCAGAGATTTGTTAGATTTGGAATCCGAAGCAGCTGCCCAATTGTAATTGTCCATCTGTCCATATCTCCGGTAAATGTTTTTCTTTTGGGCGTCACCTGTGGAAAATCCATTATTAAAAGCTGATGCAATGTTACAATCAAAGCCATTAATTCATCTTACCAAACGAACCTCCAATGCTTCGTGCTACCATCAATATGCAACGACCTACCAGCTACATCAGTCGCAATTAATCAGCTCCATGTTCCAGAAAACATCCAATTCCCCGATCCAACATTCGATGAATCAAGAAAAATCGAATTGATACTTGGAGCTCAAGTATTGTGGAAGTTAAGCTAAACTTGGTTTGGTTAGCTAGGGTTCAATGATCAATGTAGTACCACAATCACACCCGAACTCAAGCATGTGTAATTTGGCGACAACAAACCAAGAACACTATCAACAGGAAAGATCTGGAGGCTTGAAGATTCTTCATTAAGTCCGCAATCGCATGATTTCAATTGCGAACAACATTTGGGAAATTACTCCAGAACTTCCAGCGGACGATTCATGTTAATAATACCATTCAAAATTTATCCTAGTGCAACGTGTTCAATTGCTATAAAGAGGTTGTATGCTATTGAACGTCGTGTGGTTGTCAGAGAGATGAATGCTCCAAAGTCCTGCACCACAATGTTCTCCATAATTATATTGCAAAGGGCCCATTGAAACCACATGAGTTCAATGCTGCTTTGTACTTCATCATCAGGAAGCCACACTCAAGCACAAGAATAAAAACATAATACACAAGGCAAGTAAACTATCGAAATTAGCACCATATCTCGATGATGGACTGCTAAGAGTTGGAGGCAATACAACTTCCATAAAACGCATCCAATTCTCTTAACAAAAGAATCATCGCATCAGTCGGTTGTTACTAGAAAAGGAACATCGTGATCTTCTGCGCGCCGCCCGGTTGTAAACAAATACTTTCAGCGATTTTGAATACCCTCAGGGAAGCTGGACACGTTGTCCACACCTGCGTCCAAATGCAGGAAGATTTGCTCATGAAGCATTTGTTGCTATTTTGACATTAAGTGATTATTGGGTGTATAATATGACATTTCCAATTTTTATTAGTTTATTTGAGGCAGTAGTGTGCGGTTCCATTCTGAAACTGTTGAATAGGCGACAAAATGTGTGCAAAGCTGAGCTAAACCATAACTTGGATCGAGCAAACCGCTCGTATAGAAACTACTGGAATGTTAAAAGCTTTTTTACAAAACTTTTGTGAGTCATTTAAGGTTGTTAAGAGCTATATTATATAGGTTTTCAAATACTTTTAATAACCACCAATAGTCTCCAAGGGCTACCAATAATAATAACTTACTTAAATCTTAGTTAGGATGGACAAGGGCGGTCTCCTTTTTGTGTAATTAACATTCGTAATTAAATTTTCTTATTTGTCGTTGGTCTATGTAACGGCATGGAGATTGTTATGTGTTATCAAATGTAAATGCTTAATTTAATTGACAGTTGGATGTGATTTATCGCCTTTTCTGTATAGTTAAGAGAGATAACATTTTATTTGTTTCTAGAATTTAAGTTTGGATTTATCTCTTTAATGTCTAATAACAAATTGATTTAGAAAAATAATCAACCTCTATTTTTTTGGTCTAATAACGTACGTTGAGGGGATAGCCTTTGTTGTCAACTGTGTATGATTGATTGTTGTAATTTTTATTATCGGAAAAATGGTTTCGCCTTAAATAGGACTTTAAAAAGAAAAGCGTCGCTTTTTGCCTCAGTTAACGCAAAACTACGTTTCTTTAAAAATTTAAATCTTTTTTTTATGTTCAGCCGAGTTACGTTTCGTTGAAGAATTTATCATTAGTGGATTATTAGTTTCAGTATCGAAAGATTATTCGTCCAATGTGAGATTGAAGATTGAAGAAGTTTCGTCGTTTGTGAAGCCGGAAACCAAATTCGCGGCTAATTATTTTTCTACGTTTTGTTCGTGCTTAGTACAACGCCGAAGTTTTTTTGTCTTACCGGCTGGAGGATTGTCGTAAAGTTTTGGCCATCAAAGGTGCTACAGGAAAGGTGTTTTATCGGCGCCCCCATAAGAGTATTTTCAACGTGACTCAGTTTGAAGTTGAGTTTTTTGGGAACGTCCTTGTCTACCCCAAGAGAAGATGCTGCGATTGGTCGATGTCGTTAGTGTAAGGTGTCAATTTGTTAATCGAATTTTTTTTGTTTTGGTGTTTTGTGTAGATACGGTCTTTCTCGCCTACGGATCAGTGCACACAGCAATACAATCTAAAATGTATCATATTGTGTTTATTATGTAACTAATTTGTAATATCGCTGATTGGAAAATGCAAAGCACTAATGGGGTAATGGTACATGGCGTGAAATCATAATTGCAGCTATTTTACGATGAAATAATAAAACATTGTATATCTATATAGTGAAAACGACGAGTTAAAAGCGTACATTCATGACAGAAAAAAAGCAATATTGGTATTCCAGCATTTTCTATGAAAATTTGTAGGTATATAAGCTACAAAAAGCTCTCGTTTGATCGATTTAAGCTCGATTCTGCTTTGCTGCATATATAAACTTGGAAGCTTGATATACATAATACAGTGTCATCACTTTTTGCTAACTTGTTGACAAATATAAGTCAGCGCAATGTATTTTATTATCGATGACGTGACGTGAATGAAATGAGATAACCTAGGAGA